TGGTGCCGTATTTCGTTGTGATCTTGTTATTGTAAAATATCGCATGCCCAGTGAATAGATGAATTAAATGTCTACGTCATTAATTAGAAAGTTGTTTCCATTTATCGAGTGGCGCTTAGGCTTAGCTCAGCTTAGCATAGCTTCAATACTCACACATTACCCTCCCCCACTCCTCTGGTCAAGCAGCTCGCCTTCCATTTAACCCCTTTGTAGGGCGTAATTTAAGCCCCGTTTTGGTTTGGAGCTGCGCATCGAATTTCATTGAAGGTCAAACTGCGTTTTATATACATATATATATATATATATATTTTTTTACATTTTGGTTTGCGCACAAAAAGAAAATTAGCAAACGTCGTATTTCGCATTGGGTTTCGGAAGGCTATATAGTATATAGAGTACATAGTGTGCATGTACTATAAAAGGTTTTATATGCATATAGTATAGCGGCGTATGCAAGTGCGCATAAGACGCAATTCATTTCGTATACAACTATTTAAGTGCTTTAAGGGGCTGTGAGAGGGGGAAGCTTGGCGGCTCGCTGAGCTGTAAATGCTAGCGAAAAAGAAAAATACAACTAGAATTATTACGTTTAGGGAAATAAACGTGAAAAGGTTTGTTTTCTGACCTATAAATGCAAATTTATGTATGTGGGCTAAACGAGAGCTAAACACATTAAATAGTGGAGAAATTATACAATTTTCCATATCTAAATATATATTTATAACTTGTTATTGAAAATTTCGACTTCATTTCTTAATCGGCTCTTGATAAAGTCATAATCAGAATTTTGACGGGTGCTTCATCATATTGAACTTTATTTTCCGCTGCATGCGTTCCACTGTGCAAACACACTTGCCACACGCATCATTTCTTGTGGCCAAAAAAATGCTGATGTAACTGTTCGTGACGTTTTTTCAACTCGGTAACTGTTGAAGGCGTTGATAACGTGATAATAGCAGTCCACATTATCAGAATACTTTTTTTTTTTAACAGCAAGCAAAACGAATGCAAAAAATAAAATACAGAATTAAAATTCTGCTGATTGCAGAACATTTCGAGCCAATAAATTTTCAAGTGAAAGTAAAAATATATATATTTCTATATATGTGCATATGTATGTATGTACGTACATATATATATGTATATAATGAGTTTTGCTGCTTATCAAGCATCTGGCGCATCTATAAATTCATTTGTGAACGTGGCAAAGACGCAAAAATTTCAAAGAGCTGCGCTCAGCTCAGTTTATGCAGCATTTGATATCGAGATAAGCGTTTTGATATTTTGCATTTTTATTATAACTAGATATTCATAAATTGTAGATACGGTAAGGCCATATATATGTACATATGTATTAGTTTATGATGTTTACAATTTATTTTTATGTTTTTATTATGCTTATAAAATTTATTTATAGAGCAAATATTTCATACATAAATTTGTTTATAATAAACATTTTTTTTTTGTCAATCTCTAATCTAAGTATATTTTGAAAATCTTATACTACATAAACCTTCTACAAAATATATATAAAACCTCCTAATTTAACAGCAATCGACACATGTTTTTCCCTGACTTTGGTGACTTCCTTCAATTTATTCTGACGTTAATTTGCTCAGTAAACCCGTCTTCAAAACCTTCGCTCCTCCATTCCAGCCTGTATATTGTCACAGCTGTTTCACATATATACATATGTATATGTACATATATTTATAAATATATATATATATTTAAATTGCTTTCTGATTTCAATTGGCTTTCATTTTCAAGCATTTTTTGTTTCACTTATTCAATTTGGTTCAAGCAAATAGATATAGAGTATATGCCAGATAATTTAGATAAACAAGTAGTTCGTTCATTCGGGAGCTCTCTGCACACGCCGCCTTCGATAAGAACTAAAAGCCCCAACGATAAAGCCACCACAAGTAAATAAAAAAAAAAAAACTGAAAGCGGAAGTGAACTCTTTTTTTTTTCATATTTTTCTTTTCGTTCTGGTTTTCACTCTCTCATAGAATTTTCGGGAGCCGTTTTTAGTAGGTCAAAACCGCAAACAGAAATCAAAATAAATGATTCGCCTCTTTGACAGCTCGGCCAAAATAAGGAAGTCAAGGCACAATTTTGGCAACTGAATTATTTACGGCCTTGCCGCAGATAATGCCAATATACTATATATCCTATATACATTCAGCATTCATCTGTCGTTGAGCTTCCAGAAAACAAAATCATTAATCAGCAGCATCTATCATTGAAATGGATTCTAAGAAACTACATATGATGTATACGGGCTATTATTGAGTTTTGCATTCTTCATTACTTCTTGCATGACGTTTTAGTAAATAATTGTGTTCCGTTGAATTTTATTTATATTTAAATATCGAAAAAGTTCATTTGTTATTCAGTCTATATTAATCTTAAAATTCTAGACAAATTTAAGAATTACTTGGCAAAATCTTTGCAATCAATTATTACTTGTTAAGAGTCTTTATAAGAGTCTTAAGTAGACTGTGCTGAGACTTAAAACCCATATAAATCTGTTTATTTATTTGTGAACGATCGTCAACTTAATATTTATTTTTATATATTTTCTGAGTCAAATACCATAAATTAAGTAAAAGATTTTCTGATTGACTATACAGAATATCTAAAATATTTTCATATTTGGCCATTTGATCAAATTTTATATTTTATTTAAAACAAATTTCGATCAATCTTTGTTTTCGTTATAAAGTGTTAAAATTCTTACTGATCTACCTTCAGCATTTCGATTTGCCATTTCCGTAACATTTTTCAAATCTTCGTCAGCTGATGACTATTTATTAAATTGGAGCTGTTTGGCTGTTGACTGCTCGATGCTCGTGCCATTGGTAATGCGAGCGTAACGGACAGGTGTCAAGAATTTCGTCGACTTGCTCCTACCTGTTCCCCCTGCGTCTGGCCCCTACCTTCTCTCTCCTATCCACCGTCCGTTTACCGTTCTGGTTTCGCTGTTTAAGGCAAGGTAAGGTAACATCTGGTTGACAGCCATATGACTTTGACATAGATATATATATATATATACATATATGGATGCGAATTTCTTTCGTTTTGAATTTCATTTGATTTCAATAACATTTTTTTGACGCCTACATTAATGTGAGTAATAGAGCGCCCCTATGCTTCCCGGAAGTATGAGGCGCTTCTGCTTCTTCTTTCTCTACTGTTCTTGTTCTTCAATTAAGAAAGTCGGTCAATGCCAGGCGCCTAGCCTAACCCACACTTGACATATGACTACCAAAATTTGTTTTATTATTATTTTTGTTTCTTTTTGGTTGCCTCGCCTTGTATATATATATTTGCCCCCCTTTTATATACAATTCCCTGCCCGTCCCTCTATTGTTTTTCACTACGCTGAGGTAATCAATTTCCATGCCCAGGGATTAGCAATCGCTGCCTTGCCTTATCACATGACGCAAGTGAAGTTCTGTCCTCTCTTACTCTCTCCTTCTCCTTCTCCTTCTTCTCTCTCTCTCGCTCTCATTCTCTTTTCAAGTTCTTTTCTCTCTGTTCGCTTGGTTTGGGTCGTTGACTTTGGTAGCTGCTGTTCGGATCGTTGCGTTCCAATGCAGTAAATCTGTCGATAGTCCCATATATATATATATGTATATATACATATATATGTATATGCGTATATCACTCATTGGAACGATCTCTCAATATATATATATACATATACATATATTACTAATGTGTGTATAAAATATGAAATGTGTGTTGGGCTTTACGTTTCATATTGCAAAATAAATTAAAAATGCGGAAAAGGTCGCAAAAAACTCTTATATGAAGCAGAGAAAGAAGAAAGCTTAAGACAGAGACAACGAAATACCGAGTGAAAGAGAGAGAGTTAGTGAGTGGCCCAGAGCGTGCGCGTTGAGCTGTTTATTAAAGACGCGTGTTAGACATTCCAAAATGTTATTGCGTATACGCAGCGTCTGCGACAATTCCACAACTGTTTTCGCCATAAAAAAAAAAAAACTTTTGTCTGGCTCTATACCCATTGCATACATGTGGATAAAGGGTATACTGTTTGGGGGTAAATTTACGTAGAAGTGCAAAAATATAATATGAATGGTCAGACATTCAATCTGAGTTTTTCACTTAAATTTTAAATATTTCGTTATTATAATATTTCATAGAAATATGTCTCTATATATGAGGCTTCTATTTAGACCTAATCCCATCCCTACTTCAATCTCTCTATCTATATGTATGTATATATTATGTATTCAGAGATTTATGTTTATATTGATAAGATCATTAGAGTTATTATTATTATCGATACATTTATTGTTCGTAAAATTCTATACTCGATAAATTGTTTTTCCATCTATCTCTATCTATATTATCTATAGTTATTACCCTCATATTTCGAAGCACAGGGTATTAACAGAGCTATGCCCTGCTCTGAAACTTCTTCTGGGCTATTCTCTATATGCCTGTTTTCTTCATATTAATCGTAAAATTATGTGTAGTTCTTCTATATATACAAACATACATACACACATACATATGCTGTATATATACTGTTGCTTTTATATTTGTTTCGCTATTCGCTAATTTAAATGACAGCTCAATGAGCTCAGCCACAAGGGCGATGACAACAGAGCCCAGTTGCTCGATGGTTGGATGACCATTGCCCACTGCATAATGATGATGATGATGATGATGAGGTTGCTGAGGATGAGGATGGCGATAATGATGGATGATGAAATGTGCTTGCTCATATTATACAGATATTCTCGTAATTATTTTAAAAGGGGCACAGCAAGGGATTGCAATTAATCCGTGGATTTTAAAATTAACTTCAGCTCTGGCAATTTAATCAACTCAACATAAATGAAGAGTCATTGCAGATGAATCTAGTTCATATACTGGTTCCATTTTGTATACAGTTCTCAATATAGTTCTTTTCTCTCTCTTATCTAGTCTAGTTAGTCGCAATGAAATCGGATTAAATTTTCAGCAATTTAATTGAATTAATTTTACACAATATTCATTCCTTTCAATGGAGAACCAGTTCCAATTTCGTTAGCTTCGTAACTTTCCACTCACATATTATAATACATGCAAATACGACGACAATTAATTAAGTCGAATCAAGAGATCAGCGAGACGTTTGCAATTGTAGTTCCGAATAAAAGACCTCTATTCCTCTTTCTCTCTCTCTCTCTCTCTCTCTCTATCTCTCTCTCTCTCTCTATTGCTCTCTCCCCTTCCTTTTTTTCTTGCTTTCCCCATCTCACTCTTTGGCCTCCCACACGGCTATCAATTTACCCATTTTGTTATCCAATTGTTCGCTTGAATTATTTAACCAGCTTCAACTGAATCTGGCTAGTGGTTTAGCTATTATATAAAGATAACAAAACATATACATATGTATCTTCCCTCTCTTTCTATGTACCCATGGCCGCTCCTCTTTATCCCTCTCTAACTATTGATATACTTTCATTTTCTTTCGATTGAGTGGGGCTACGGTTCAGTGTGAGATCTTAACCACATAAAAGCCGTCAATCAGTCAGCAGCTTCCACTTAATTTGTCGCCTCTACACTTGATACAACACACGATTTCCCTAGCTTCCATCGTTGCTCTATCTTCCTCACTCTCTACACACACATACACACACACACACACACATATGCCGCTAGCAAGTGCACTTGCAACAACTTGTGCCCTTACCACATTGCATCAATCAGAGTCGAGCCGGCACAGCACTTCAATAACCACCAACTGGACAACTTCTGGGCCAAAAGGAAAAGCAAGAAAATTTGTCTTATGTAAAATACATAACAGGCACGCCAGCTGTCAAGTGCAGCCCATTTGTATACCGCTTGTAAAGAGCCAAAGCTGAGTGGGTATGGCAGACTTCGGAGTGTGAATGGGTTGGGAAATTAAAATATAAGAATTCAATGGAATTGAAATATGAAAAAGTAAAGATCTTAGTCTAAAATAATACAATAAATGCAAAGATCTTTGGAGATGTAGACAAAAATAAGCATATTAGACATTCACTCATTTATAGGATATCTAGTTAGTCCATCATTTTCAACACCATTGCCCACATGTTTTGCCTCTGCTTGTTTCGCAGGCATTACAAGGCAAAAGCTGTTGCTAAGCCGGCAAAGTCGGACAAAGCAGATGAGACAGACAGACAAAGAGTGAACAGTTGAGTGAGAGCGAGAGAGAGAGAAGGATATTCGCTGCATTACTCATACGACGCGTTGTCTCGAGTTGGGCGTCTGCTGCTGCCTCTGCCTGTGTCTTTACTGTGGTTATTTTTAATGCCAAGCCACATAATTCATTGTAATTTGCCAGCCGCTTTACATTTTCCAGCTGCAGTTGTCTTTATGCCAGCCCATACATACATACATACATACATTCACACATACAGATACATAACATAAGTGGCCATAATCTGCTGTGTTTGGGAGGGGCCTTGACTTTGTCTTTGGCACTAAAATTGGCAACTGCTCTACCCCATTCGCAGTTGATCAATCAATTTATCAGACTAACACACACTAACAGTGACTCACACAGACTCATGCCCACATACATAACAAATTAGTCATCACATAACTGTTTGACCAAGCGAGCCAAATGACACAACTGTCACCAACAACAACAACAACAACAACAGCATACCTAATCCATAAACAGAATATTTAAAACGATATTCAGCGCATTGAAGCACAGTAGATACCCTAAGAAAAATGTTACAAAACTCCAGTTTGAAGGGGAAAAATAATGAAAATATAAGAAAATATTTTTTATTTATTCAAGTAATTTTGGAACCAGTTATGTTCATTTAGTAAAATCACTTATGAGCTCGTGAAGTGGTTCACTTTCATAATGAATTGAATCAATACATTGCCAATGAACTGGTTTGCCGCATTATTAATGAACTAGTTTCTAAGAAACAGAGAGAAAAGCTCATACTTTCGACTTAAAAAATATTTTAAAACAATTTTAAATAATTATAGAGGATATAGGATTAGAGTTTTTATTAAAAATTATGTACAAATGGAAGTGTACTTGAAATTAAACTAGCTTTTATTTTATAGTTTTGATTTATGAGCCAAGTTCGTATACTAATTACCGTTAGCTCTTTTAAGCCATTTCTTTATGCTAATCATAAAATTATTTTTTATATTCAACCTAAACTTTTTACCAGTTCACAGTGCACGTAAGCCACGCAACAACAAAATTACTTTTGGGCTATAAAGCTTTCTTTCTCTCTTCCCTCACTCTCTCACTCTATTTCCCTTTCTTTCTCTCTTTACAATTGAGCGAAAATTTGTGCGCTTTAAAGTGCGCTTAATTGAAGCGACCTTTTGTGTCACGCCCCTGTTATTGTTGTTGATGGGCAACGATTGAAGTCCCCTCCCGTCCCCCTACAGCTAGCTAGCTAGTATGCCTGCCTGCTTGGTCGCCCACACACGAACATTTTCTCAGCTAATTTCATTGATGAATTTTTATTAAATAAATTATTATAATGAGACAACCTCTGGAGGGCCCCCTTTGGGGCATGTTGCAAGTCAACGAACGAACGTCCATAAAAGATGGCAGAAATAAAAGCCAGATAGCGAAGAGCAGAGGAGAGGTAGAGCGAAAAAGTGGCACAAAACAAAGCGCACAAATTTTTGGCACAAAAATGTGGCGCGTGTTCGCACTTTACTGCAGACCCGAAGCCCGTCGCCCCAAACTCCCCCCCAGTGACCGAACCACAACCGAGCAAAAATTCCATAGAAAATCCGGATAGGAATGAGTGCTACGATATCAATACGAAACGCGTTCAAACAATTGCGTCTAAATTTAGTACACAGCATTAGAAATGTCCACAAATCGCAGCTCAGGGTCTGTCGGCACTATAAATAGCTCTCAGCTAGCCTAATTGATTATTAGAAGAACAAAAACTCGGACAGTCGACACAAATGTTTGGACAGCACAAATAGACGCCGATAAGGAAGAGCTACGAGTCTAAACAAAGCTGGAACGTTCGTTCGACTGCCAAATGAATGAACAACAATTTTTGTGAATGAACCGAACCGAAACTAAATGACTGACAGAGCCAGAACAGATGCTGAAGATCAACACCATAATCACAAACTATAAATTAACATAGAATGAGCATTTTGAAAAGAATTTCTGATCCATATACATATATAATGCTATAAAAATGATTGTTTGTGAGTTTTGTTGTCGAGAAATTATAGTATAATTTGCTGGAAAAATAAGTATACTATAATAATCGAAGATCTATTGAAATAAATCTGTGGAAAGCTATGCGATATTTTCATAGCATTTTGATTCTATTGCTGGAGGCAATAGAAAATTGATTTGATCGATGAGGATAAATGGATATTACTATCTTACATTTGCTTCATTTTGTGTATCATTTGAAAAAAATCTCTTGCCTATTCTTCAAAATTTTCATTGCAATTATTAATTATAGCCAACGATCTAAAATTGTTCAAAAATTTTAGTTAAATGTATGAAACCATTGTCTACGCTAATTAAATTAAGTTTGAAATGTATTATCGATATCTTTATCAAACATAATTTCTATAAACTGCCAATCGATAACAACAGTTCATTTCATTTCTTACAAATCTCGAATCAATAGTTCAATAATTCAAATATGGATCTCATCATATCCTATCATGCCTAAGTCAGTTGAGGGCTATCGATACATTGTATCATCTCTTTCGATATCGATCATTATATCATAGTCTTATCTACATTTGCTAATTTGCTGTCTGGTCTGAGTTATCTTTTCCCATATTACGCATATCTGTGATGACTCATACAAAAATTTTTTGGGCACATCTTCTGATCTATCATGCAGTTTATTTAAAGCACATGATTTCACATCTGGGCAGCTACAATTAGTGCATTTCTTTCACTCGGCGAGCGAATGCGAATGATTTATGCTTAATGTGTGGAATCAAATCAATCTCAATTGAAAGGCAATATTCTCCTATGTAGATACTTTCCAAGAATTTTTAACTATAAGTTTCTTGACATGAATCATTTTCAGCTGTGGGAATACTGCCAAAAGTAATCGGATATATTTTCTGAATTTATACAAGTATCATCATAGCGTTATATATTATAAATCTCAATTTTTCAATTTCCTTTCTAGGTTTTTGATTTTTAGATTTTATATATTAAAGTATTTAGGTCTATATAACATATTCCCTTCATACATATATCATATTCATGTAATTTAATACATCATTAAAATTTTTGATATATTTCTCTAATATACTCAGTTATATAACTTTAATATTTTCATATTTGAACTTACCTTTCAGTCTCTGATTCTGCATTTGGTTGCTGCTGTAGCTGTTGTATTTGTTGCTGTGTTGTTGTTGATGATGTTGCTGCGGCTGTTGTAGAAGCAGCTGATGTTGCTGCTGCTGGTGCTGCCGTTGTCGCTGATGTCGATTGTTGCTGTTCGTCGCTCAATGCAAGCGATGTTGTCGTTGCATCCACTGCTGTTGCAGTTGCATTTGTTAAATTCACATTGCTGTTGGCACTGACACTCGCGATATTTGTTGGCGGTATTTGTGGTTGAGTCTGTGTTGATGCTGCAGTTGCTGCTGCTGCTGCGGCTGCGGCTTGTTGCTGCTGTTCGTCCAACACCAATTGCTGCACATCCGCAATTGTTGTTGGCGCGCTTTGCAACTGCATTGCAGGTATTGCTGCTGGTGTTGCGGCAACAGCTGTTGGCTCGTAGCTGTTCAGATGCGTCAGCAATGGCAACGTTTGGCCAGCTGCAACTGTTGCTGCTGCATTAACTACAGTGGCTGCTGCTACTGCTGTTGCTGTGCCGGCAACTGTTGCTGCTGTGCTAGTGGAAGTGTTTGAAGTCTGATTTGCTGCTGCTACGGCTGCTGCTGCTGCTGTTGCAGCTGGGAATGCTGCAGTGGCCGGTGCAATGCCATCGATTTGCGATGTTGCCTGTGGCTGTGGCTGTTGCTGTTGCTGCGGCTCCAACTGGAAGTTCGGCGGTGGCTGTTGCTGCCCGGCAGCAACTGCTGCGAATGTGGGCGGCGGTGCCTGGGGCGTTTGCGTGGCCGGCGACAAAGGCTGCTGTTGCTGTTGCTGTTGCTCCACATAGCTGTTGCTCATGTTGCTCTCGCCGACAACAACTGTTGCACCTGTGCCAGCAACATTTGTGTTGCTGTTGTTGTTGTTATTATTGCTGCTGCTGCTGCTGTTATTGCCGCTCGTGGCCGGCAAATAACCAGCACTCGCATTGCCTGCCACATCCATTGCTGACGCAGCGGCCGCAGCTGCTGCTGCTGCGAGCTCCTGTTGCTTCAGCTGCTGCAGCGACTGTTGCAGCTGCTGGGCCGCTGCTGTGGCATAGTCCATTGGCAACGTCTGCCCGTGCTGCGATCCCTCCGCATTGGCATTGGGCGTGCCTGCATTGGCATTGACGCTGTCATAGAGCTGCTGCTGCTGCTGCTGTTGTTGTTGCTGCTGCTGTTGTTGCTGCTGCGCTTCACTGTTGGCCGCATTTACGAATTGCTGCATGCCATGCACCACAGTGGCAGGGGCGGTCATGACACCGCTGGGCGTGCCCGTCATGTGTATCCCAGCCGCCGCACCGCCAATTGTTGCTCCCGCATTGCCAGCGCCCGACTGCAACTGTTGCTGTTGCGTCTGTTGTTGCTGCTGCTGCTGCTGCTGCTGGTCGGAATAATTCCAATTGGCATCCGCCGAGGCCGCCTCCAAGTGATTCTCGTGCAGCATACTCGGCGGCAAAATCATGCTCTGCGTTGTCTTTGGGAGATCGCAGCCACCCTCCAGCATGTTGCTGCCGGCCCCGATGCCACCAGCACCAGCACCAACACTGGCCGCTGTGCCTTCCGTGTTACCAGTCTTTTCATTGTTATTGGCCGCACCCACACTCGAGTGATCCAGATAGTCCATGCACATCCAGCGGCCGCGCTTGAACGGCTCCGTCGACTCGATCTTGACCACCTTAAAGCGTTCGCTGCGATGTTGCGTCTCCTTCATGTCTTCCTTTTTCTTGGTGCCACCGGGCGTCACCGCCGCGCTAACCACATTGATGATATTATCCGAGACGTTCACCTGGACGTTCTGTATGGTCTGGCCCAGCGCTGGGCCAATCGGGTCCACCACAACGAGGCCGTACTGTGAGCTGGTGGGTATCACCGGCGCTGTGGTGCTCAATGCATTGTTGGCAAAGAAGACTTCCTCCTTGGAGAACGTGTCCTCCGACATGGATGGCGTTTCATTCTCTAGATCTGTAATCCGACTATTGTCATCCGTATGAGATTCATCTAGATCATCGGCAGACTCGTCGCCCGTGTCGCCGGCAGCATTCAGCTTGGCGTGACCCACAGTCACCGAGGTGATTTGAAATGAGGAAGTCGTCTTTGGTTTGCGATTGTTGCTGCCGACAGAAGATGCTGCGGCTGCATTAGTTGCTGCTGCTGCTGCTGCTGTGGCTGCTGCTGACTGATGTCCCTGGCTGTGGCTGGTGTGATGCGGATGATGATGATGCTGGTGATGATGATGATGCCCATGATGTGCCGGCGGCTGCTGCTGTTGCTGTTGCTGCTGCTGCTGCTGTTGTGGCCATGGCGCTGTAATGTTACGCAGCGCAGCGCCATTGTTGTTGGGCGAGCTGGGCTTGTTGTTGCCGGCAGCATGGCTGGTGTTGCTGCTGTTGCTGCTGCTGCTAGTTGCCGCTGTGGCCGTTGTTGCCGTCGAGTGATTGCTGCTGCTCGATTTCGGCGCCAGCGACAAGCTGCTGTTGCTGCTGGCACGCGACACACTCACGCTGCCATCTGCAGCAACTGTTGCTGTTGCTGTGGCTGGCGTTGCATTGCCGCGACTCAACGCATTCAAGCGCAGACTTTCGCTGGTGGTGCGCTGAATGTTGTTACTGTTGTTGGTGCTGTTACTGTTGTTGCTATTGTTGCTGTTGTTCTGATGCGCATGCGCCTGATGATGATGCAAGTGCGAGCCATGATGATGATGATGTTGCCCGCTGCCGCCCAACGAATTGACCTTGGTCAACGGCGGCTTCTTGATGCTGGTGGTGCCAACCACGCCCACAACGCCACGCCCCGGCGTCTGTATGGAATTGCGACGAGCGGGCGCATTGCCCGCACCAGCAGCTGCCCCACCAGTGGGCTTGAACTTAGCATTCAGATGGCGATCGAACATGTTGATGCTGGCGCGTTGCTGCTGCTGTGGTATATTGCTCGTCTGCTGTCGGCGTATGGCTGCTGCTGTTGTTGTTGTTGCTGCTGCTGCTGCTGCGGCTAGTGCTGCTACTGCTACTGTTGCTGCTGTATTGGCTACGATGCTGTGCGTCTCCTGTGAACTTTCGGGCGATGAGGCGGCCGAATTGCTGCCGCTGGCCTGACCGCTATTTGCAATTGTTGCTGCTGTGCTGAGCTGATGCTGATGTTGTTGTTGCTGTTGAAGTTGATGTTGATGTTGCTGCTGCTGCTGTTGCTGTTGTTGCTGACCAGAATCTTCGTTAGCAGCGCTTTGATTCTCGGCCATAATCGAATTGGATTTCAGCGTGCGCAAAGTTTTCAGCAAATAATCCAGTTTTGCTGACAATTACTCTTGGATTATTTGTGGACGAAGAAAATAATATATTTTATAATTATTATTATTATTATTATTTTTTTTTTTTGGTATTTTAAAGTTTGTATTATTTTATTTTATTTTTATTTTTTAGTTAGAGTTGCTGTTTATTGGCAATTGTTGCTGCGATTTGCCCACTTCGAAGATGAAACTAGCGGCTGCCAAACGACGACGACGATACATAGCGAACCGTTGCGACCGTTACAGGTGCAACTCAAATGACGAACTGCGACGGCGACGACGACGACAACCGACAAACCGTAAACCGAAAAGCGCGAAACAGTTGTAGCAATTGTTGCTGCTGCGATTGCTGTCGATGTTGTTGTTGTTGTTGCTGTTGTTATGCTAAGTAATAAATTGAAATTTATTTGTTGTTGTTGCTTAGCTATATAATTCGGCTTTGCGCGTTTTATTAGCAACAATCAGAGGAGCGCGGCGCGCAATAACTAAATGAGCCGCCAGCTCGCAGAGCAGCGCCATCTAGCGGGCACATACAGAGGCGCACACACACGCACACTCACATACACAGGCACATACAGCACAGCTGTTGTAAATGATATTTACTTAAATGTAACACAAATATTTTAATATTTTAATTATATTTTCTTTTTTGGATTTATATTTTATTTTTTATTTTTATATATATATTTTTTTAATTATTTAACTACTTTTTGTTGTTGTTGTATTTGTTTAACTAAGAATTTTAATTTAACTTTAGCATGAAATTAAAAACTTTGTTATTGTTGCACTTTTCTATATAACCAACAAAAACACACACAAAATTGATTTTTGCATTTGTTTTGTTTACATTTGTTTTGTTTTGCTTTTTATTATGATTTCAATTTCCTGGTGCCCCGTTTACTAGCAATGCAGTACGCTGTAGAAATTTAATTCCTGCAAAGAGAACGGGTGAGAGAGAGGGAGGGGGAGAGAGAGAGAGAGAAATTTAAAAAATAAACATAAATAATTGATTTAAGTATTTTGCTTAACGAGAATCGAATTGAATATGTCATACGAGTTATTCGAGTAGTTTATTTAATCAACGATTGCCAGGCACACCCATTGGACGCCATGATTAGAGTGAAATTCTCCAATGACTATTAAACAATGGGAATGTGATATGGGCTATGCATAAGTCTGGAGAAAAGTAAATAGTTTCTGTAGATAAGGTGAATACTATTTACATTGGAGCTCTCATTACAAAGATCATGCTGTCTCTATGAAGGGAAGTTCTTGTTATATTGAGCTGTGGGAATTATTTGAATCAGCCTTTGGACAGCCATATAAAATATCAACTCTTTGATGTTTAAATTATCTGTTAGACAAATAAATTACATCGATGAGTCGCATAATCCATCTATGGAAATCTATAGACATGAATATTTCTGTTTTGCATTTCAGATCATTTTTCAATAAATCCTGGAATGATTCGTGGTAGAACAGAGACTATAATACGCATAGAATTATATATGTATGTAAATCATCAAGATATGACTAGAACTATCGATTAGTCTCCATCAAACTATTTGCTTTCTATAAATACCTATGTCTATTTGCCTTTAGATTCTGAAAAATCAATCATAAAATTATGTTATAGTTCTTATCTGTTTTTTCTCTATTTCCAACAGCTCAGGAAATAATATGTTTGAATAGTTTATGATCTATAGTCAGCTACTTAAAAGCTGAAAAGAAATTTAGCAAAGCGCTATAAACTTAATAGTACTGAAAATGCTCAAGTTTCAATGATCCTAAATAAGTTTAGAGTCAGAAGCTAAGAGTAATAAAATGCTCTAATTATATATAGCGATTTGTTTGTTTACTGACTAAAAGAGAGCAGTTATTTATTAGGCATATATAACGAATCTATTATCTGAAAATTTGTTAACCACTGAAAATATATCTAAAAATGACAAATTTTACTAAATTTCTTAAACATTAGATATCACAAATCATTTCTAAAGTATTCTCCAAAACTATCTTGAACTATTTAAAGAAACTATTAATTTGATATTTTATCCAGCTAAATCTAGAGTCAACTATTACTGCTAGATCTTCTTCTTCTCGAGCGCTCAGAACATTTTCTCTTGAAGTTCTATCTAAATCACAACAATCCCTTAAGCCGCTGTTATAACTAGGTTTTACTGCTTATAGCTCGTCGTAGTATCATCTCTGAGTAGTTGATTTCATAACTGCGTAGTATTTCGTTTACGATTATGATATTCCGCTGATGATCGTCAGCATGTGGCTATTGATGATGATGAAGATGATTTTGAGTTTTTCTTGGCTGATGTTTTTCTTTGTTGTTTTTATTTGAAATTTTTTAAAAATTTTGTTATATACATATATATTGATTTCATTATTTCCGTTTTACGGCGTAGTTTGTTGAATTAGTTAAGTGGCACACATAAGACCTGGTTCCTTTGCCTTTCTTTCGTGTTTATCGATTTTTTTTTTTGCCAAAGTCTAAAAATTATTTTTAAATATTTATTTTTTTCGGCAGTTTTATCTTCCATTCATTTTTTGTTCGCTTTTGCTTTGTTGTTTTGTTTGTTGTTGTCATTATTTAATTGATCTCGTTTACGGAAATAAACGCGCAATTGACGTTGCCAAATTCAATAACAAAAGGCAGTCAGAAAAACAACAACAACAACAACAACAACAGTGTGCAAAAGCTTAGAGCGTTGACACGTAAATTCCCTGACTAAAATCATTCAAATTAATACTATTCGAAAGATATGCCTAATATTTTTAGTAGATTTATAGAAGAGCTCAAGTTTCATCTGTTTAAAATACGTATTTTTGAGTAAAATTATTTTAAATAAATTTTAAAATATTTCTACTCAAGCAGATAATAGAAGTAAAATATCATTTGATTATATATTATATTTAATAATATTTACATAATTGCCAGATTTCTTACAAGCTCAATAACATATTCAATATGCCAACAACAGAAATAGTTCATGAAAACAATATATACAAATTTTGCAAAAAAAAAAAAAAAATCATAATAAATAAATAAAATAAGTGCGTATATGAACGGATGTGAATGTTTGTATTTGTTAATAGCCGTAAGCTTTGGCGATCATTCATAAATTTCGTGAACTGTTTAACTTTCATTTAAATGTGTGTGTGTCCATCTGTGTGTGCGTGTGTGTGCGGGCGCGTGTATTTGACGTCTCGAACTTTTGCGTGTGCCCCCGGCCCGAAGGCAAAGCCAAGACCTTGAATCCAAGACTATTTGACATGAAAGAAACGCGACAAACAACAACTTTTTGGCAAATGAGAAAATAATCAATTAGAAAAAAAAAGAAACAAATATGTAGAGGTAGAAGAAGAAAAAACAAAGCGTAGATCAGTTATAGGTCAACTCTGTTCAGGGTAGAACAGACACACAGAGACAGGTGGAAGGTCCATTGGCCTTGTGCTGACTTAATTTGAAGGTTGAGATCAGAATTAATCGGCAATTAGTGTGCGAAACACGTTGAACCAGGCATTAAAACAAATATGCGATGAGCTTAAGAATTTTTGTAGATTTATTTAAGATGTTGTTTCTAACAAAACAAAGAATCTATTAAGATATTATGTTAAGGATAATTTCTAATAAAGTCAACAGCAAGTTAGAAGAAAATGATATCATTGTATCTAACCAAATCTTTAGACATTAAAAGCAAATATCTGGTATGTCTGGAATTTGTATAGAACTCTTTAGAATTTTGTGGACTTATCAAGATCATAGCTTTAACAAAGAATCTATTAAGATTTTAAGATAAGGATATTCTGTGGGAATCAAGTTAGAAGAAAACGAAATCAATGGGATATAAATATTAATATCTTTATAGAGTATACTAAATTCTAATTAGATTATTATGTATTATTGTATTCCATATCTAAATAAAGGAATCTGAAATCGAGCGAATTTTATGGGATTTTCGCTGTGATTACCTTCGAGGCCCATTTGGAATTCTATTAGACGCAGTTAGCTTAGATAACTGTTATTTATGCCTCTGTGCATGCCACAACACAATGGCAATCAAAGTATCTGATGGTTGGAGGTGCAAGAATTGCACTCGCCTTTAAGTGTATCCAACAGATACGATTTGCCTCAATGGGGGGCGGCGGAGGGAGGCGCCGCTGCCTGCCTCAACAGAGACGACAAACAATAAACGGAACAACAACAACAATAATAATAACAAGCGCAAAGCAAAGCCCAGCAGAAGAAGAACAAGATGAGAAGGAGAAGGAGAAAGGGAGAGAAAGAGTAGAAAGAAGAACTAATTGCAACGAAAGTATAAAATCGATGAAGCAAAAAATATAATGAAGAACAACTACAACAGATAGCGCAGCGAAAAAAAAAGAAAACACGACTGTGGCCTGAGAGATGCAGGGAGGCAGAGTGAGATAGGGCAGCAAGTGAGAGAGTGAGAGCCACAGAGAGTGCACAAAGAGAGCGAGTGCGCGTTAAACAAATTGCAACAATTTTGCCATAGAGCAGAGAGCCAGAGAGGGGCAGCCTGTTGGCCTCCTGCCTACACTCACACACACACTGAAGACAGGCAAACTCACACACACTCATACAGGCAGACACGCGTAAGACGGAAAGCAACGTGGGCGCCTACAAGTAAAGCGAGGACGACGGCGAGGCATCACACGGGGAACCAACATACCAAACAAACAGTGCAAATTGCTAAAGCGAGAGAGAGAGAGAGAGACAGCGCGCGATGTGCAGCAAGAGAGCAAAGCTGCCGCTGCTGCTGAGAGAAAATGCCAGCGCTGTCGGTGCTCTCTCTCTCTCCCTCTCTCTTAAGTGGAAGACAGCTGCCGGTAATCAATATTGATGATGATAGCAGAGGCAAAGGCAGCGACTGCGACGGCAACGGCAACGGCGACTGCGACAGTAGCCGCAACGAAGATAAAGACCAAAAGGGAAAAGGTCAAAGTGAAATGCAAAATCAAAGCGCAACAAAGCAAAATTAATTGCAATTTGATTAAACAAAATCAATGCGAATGAGAGTGCAACATAAAGAGACGTGCAAGAGAATGACAGCGAGAGCGAGTCAAACAGAGAGGAGGATAAAGTGATGCAAAAGCAGCACAGAAAAGTTGATGAAGAGCCGCATGAAAAGATATTGCATATCCATGAGATACGCAAAAAATTATAATAAGAATAGAAAAAAATTCAATTATTAAAGCAAATCAAATCAAGGAAAATAAATAGCAGACAAATCAAACAGACAATCGAAAACGAAATAGCGATAAACGAGAATATACCCTCTAAGAGGAAACTGCATTAATATTTTTTAAATATATAATCGATATATGTATGTGTACGTATATATAGCAAAACTCGAGAGCTATTTAGTATATGCGCATATATTTTAAGTAGTATATAAATTCTACATTTATCAATTTTTTCGAAATGGGCTTTATATATGATCAATCATCAATGGACTCTACACCCTACTCCTCATCTTACAGGGTAAGCATACATTTTTTGTCAACAATAAAACAGCTACAGACGTGACTCGACGCATGCCTTATTCACAGCTCTACCCTCTCCATCCCAATTGACTTTCTTATA